GGAATATGAGTTAAAATATTTCGTTATATTATATATTTCAAAAGAAAAAATATAATAGTAAAAACTCTTTTTTGGTGCTTTATGTAGTTTTAAACAATTTGTAACACTTTTTAACAATTGGTAACAATTTTTATCAATTGCTAACAATTTTTAACAATTGGTAACAATTTTTAACAATTGCTAACACTTTTTAACAATTAGTAACAATTTTTAACAATTGGTAAGAATAAAGAAAGTATGAAAGTGCAAAAGTACCCAATTATTTTGAAATACTTAAAAAAAAAAAAAAAAATTTTCGTTACTGAATTAACATCTGTGCAACAACATTCGAAATTTCATTGATGTCTTATAACATCTTTAGAAAGATGTAACTACATCCGAGAGTTTTTCTCGATGTGTAACTACATCCGCCTAAAATAATGCATTATTATTAATAAAATAAAAAATAAAAAAAAATAAATTTCAAGACGTAGTTACATCCGAAAAAAATCAGAAATCTAACTATATCTGGTTAAAATTATACATTATTAAAAAAAATTCCATATGTACTTACATAAATAATTATATTACAAAAGTGCTGCTACATTGACTGACAAATAGTCTGACTCGCAACGGAGTGCTGCTACATCGACTGAGGGTTTGGTTTGGGCAGGCAGTCTATCAAATAATTAAAAAAAAAATTATTATGCTTAAAATAATGCATTATAAAATTTTTTTTGGCGGATGCACTTACATTTGAAAAAAATCTGATGTGTAACTACATCTGGTAAAAATAATGCATTAAAAAAAAAAAAATACGGATGTAGTTACATTCGAAAAATCTATAGATGTAGTTGCACGGATGTTATAATACATCAATAAAATTTGAGATGTTATTGCACGGATGTTATTATACATCGATGAAATTTCAGATGTTGTTTCACGGGTGTTATTATTAATGGCTTAAACGTACGTTAATGCCCTGACCCATATGTATGTATATATATATATATATATATATATATATATATATATATATATATATATATATATATATATATATATATATATATATATATATATATATATATATATATATATATATATATATATATATATATATATATATATATATATATATATATATATATATATGACAATAACGTGAAGTAAACTATGAAAGACAATTTTAAATATTTATATTTATTTATTATTCTATTTATTAACTTACTTTCATTAACTTGACGAAGTTTAAGATTTCGGAAAGACTTTTTTTGAAGATCACCTTGCCCTGTCCAATTAAATTTTTTTGCTACTTCCCTTTTTGCTGCTACTCCCTTCACCTCAAAATTAATTGTTACCTTTAGTACAACAATTTAGTTCATTTTTTTATTAACATTAGTTATAATTCATACAATGTTTTGCAAAAGGCTGCAAATTAGTTGTCAAAATACCTTAATCACAGAGGTAATTATGTTCACTTAATCCAATCTTGTTCTACTTTTATTTAATACAGAGACAGGTGTCTGCAGACAAAACTTTTTTAATTCTTGATGTTTATTAAAATCTTGTGAGTCATTTTCATAATTTTCATCAGGTTACTTCTGTACTCTAAACCCATAGGTCTAATGTTAAAATATAGTTTTTTGAAATTTTTATGGTATATTGTAAACACCTTAAAGTGTGTATTAAAAAGTATACATGAAATACAAAGTAATACCTTAAGATATTACGATGTTAGGTAAAATTATCTTGAGGTTAAACATTAACGGAGTTAATAAGTGTATTCTTCAGTCAACAAATAATAATTATAACTTAGTGAAGTACTTGTTTTACTCAACACCAAATTAAAAATAAAGAAATTATAAGGAAATATAATTAAGGTTTAATAAATATATGGAATAAAGGAAAATAAAGGTAGGGGATGATGACAATGATGATGAGATCATGTAAAATATAGCATGAAAAATACATATATATAATGAGTATTATTTAGATACACAAATTTAAATAAAATTTTAGGATGCATTAACATTTAAGCAGCTCTGGTCATAGATCAGCAAATTAAATCGGTGAATTCTTGTGTGATATTATGCTGAGAAGATAAAAATGCTAAATCACCCTCTAGTTCATCTATTACGATATTCTTATCACTTTTATCTGAATCGTTATCAGATAAAGCTTTAAGATCACTAATTTCATTATCAATTTGATAAGAAATATTAAGATTATTATCTAGAGCATTAGTGTCGGAAGGTTCATTATCTGAAGTGTTCAACCCATGTTTTTTGCAATTGATTTGAACGACTGTTTTGGGCAAAGCGTCAATAGACTGAGGAAAATAAAACCCAGTTTTACCTATGGGATAGGTAAAACTGGGTTTTATATAGGCTATGTAATCATAGTTATAGGCTCCATCAATAACCATTTCCTCTTGATTGATTTCGGACAAATAAATAAATAAAAGTTAAAATTAATTTAATTAAAAAAGTTAAAATAATTTTAACTTCTTGAATTTTTTTTTTTTCAGTCCAATAGCTTATAACTAAAACCAAGATTACTAAATTTACAGGATGTGAATTAATGGAAATTATATACTTGAATGAAAACATAAATATATTTTTCTCTCCGTAAAATTTGCATCTACATTAAAAACATTTTGCGCCATGCATTTTTGTAACTTTGGCGAGCCATTAATGATACGCTTATGGTCCGGCAATAGCTAGCCAGTTCTTCGCCAGCTAAGGCCCTTAACAGGATCCCGTGTGTTTTGCCGGACCTGGCTTGCCAGCTCTGGCCCATTAATATACCTCTGATTGGGTAATGACTTATACTATAACTTCAAAATCCATCGAAGGTCGGCTATCACTAATGTACAGATAAAACCAACATCAAAGGTTAATCCAAAAATAATGATGGGTGTTTTTAAAGGTTTTGTATCTCGTGCCATTAAAATTTGTTCCACAAAGTATCTTAATGATGAAATACAGTTTTTAGTAAAATTGTAGAAAAAGGACACGATAGATTAAAACTTAAAACAACTGGTAAAAACTATATTCAGAAAAAAAACAACCTTTTTTAAATAAACTAGAGTAAAACAGAAACAAGTAATTACAGTTAAGCTTCCATGGCTCCCTAGAATGTGTCCAAAACTTAGAAAAGAACTTAAATATTTCAACGTCAGACACCACCTACGTTAAAAAACATCTTATGCAACAACAAGTCAAAGTTAATTTCCAATAGCAATCCCGGTGTCTGCAAACTCACATGCTTATGTGGCAGTATATACATTGGCGAAACAAAAAAGAAAATTTTAACGAGATGCTTTAAACATCAAAAAAACTTTTTAAAAGGTAATCTGGTGCAACTGAACACGGTAGAGAATGTAATCGTATGTTTGATTAGTCAAATCCGAAAATTCTAGCAATAAAATCAGAATACGATGAACGTATAATTAGAGAATCACTTGAAATTAATTACGCATTAACATGCCAGGAAAAAAATCACGCTCATATACTTCTCAACCGTGACAATGGCGTTAAAATTTCTACAAACAGTTGAAGACCCTTTTATAAAACAGTTATTCAAAAAAATGGGCTTAAATAATATTTGCAAATTAAAAATTTACGTTGTTACGTATCATTTATGGCTTCTTTTTAGTTTCTTCTTTGACGTTTTTATGTAATATTTGTATTTTTTTTTATTGTATTATATTTTACGTCTGATGACGATCTTTGCAAAAGCAGGTCGAAATATTACAAAGAAAAAATTTATTTTGTAAGCAGCTGGTGTTTTATGCTTTTTATTTTAAATATACATATATTTCAAGCAAAACGTTTAAATGTTAGACAATGGATTTAACACTAGAAAACTTTTTTTTATTGATGACATAATTTTATATATATAGACATATAATATTTTCAAACAATTAATAAAAATTTTATTAATTGTTTGAAAATATTATATTTATATTAAATGTTTAAAAAAGTTTTTTTTCTATTTATTGCCATATATTGCAATATAAATTGAATTTAATACTATTTAATATTAAACTATGTTCAAGAATTCAAAAAAGTATCCGTAAAACGTTAACAATAATGCAAAAACAATGAACGGTTCGATGAAGAGCAATAACGGGTTCTTTAAAGTATCTTATTTTAAAGTTCTGCTAAAGAACTTTTGCAAAGGGTTGTTTGAAGAAACTCTGCGGGTGTTCCTCCAACGTCAAGCTGACGAACCTTTGAAGATTCTTTATTGAACTTTACCTTCAGGTTCTTCCGACGAACCTCTGAAGAACCTCTTCGGATGCACCATTAGCGTCCACGCGAAGAACTCTTAAAGGTTCTTTGAAGAGCCATTCGGCCTAAGACTGTGGCCTTCAGTTTTGACATATGCATCTCAGCATATTGCTGAAATACTTTTTTGCCATGTTTTTAAATACAAGAGCTAACGGACTTTGTTCCGTTATTATAGTTTGCAATTAAAACATTAAATCACGTAAACAAAGATCAATACCAGGTTGTTGCATTCTAAAATTTACTGCTGCAAGTGGATCATAAATATATAGTTGAGAACATATTGGTGGAATATCTTGATCAGTCCGAAGATTACCTACAACAGTAACAATAACAACAACAATAACAATATATTTACCAGTAAATACTATACAAAGGTGTTAAACAAAGTAATACCGACTGAAAGGTTGACTCTCACCATAGCCTTGCTATTTGAGGAGAGCGACTTTGTAAAAATACAAATTCATAAACGACAAGGACAAGAAAATAAACAAGTTTTAAAAAATAAATACAAATAAAATAAAAAAGATTTAATGAAAACAAACCCAAAAAAAGCAAAAAATACAATAGAATATATATACATATATAGATATATCACTATAACACTAAGGAAAACTATAGTCTCTAATAAAGTGAATTTAAGAAAAACAATTTAAGTTTTTCTTGTAAACTTTTTTTATTTAGTTCACGAAAATGAAAAGTATTTAGCTTACTTTGTAAGAAATTTCAGTCACTAATTGCAGAGTTTTTAAAGGAATGTCTACCATAAAATTTTGTATCAAAAGCTTGAACACACAATCCACCTCTTTGAGACATCTTAGTAGATTGGGTATTATTATGTGTTAATGGAGTAAACCATTCTGTAAATATAAAGGGAACCTTATTATTAATGCAACTGTGAATAAAAAGTCAATTTTCAATTTTTGTGTGGTGAGAAAAATTTATTAACTGTAGTTCCTTGAATGAATCAATTGTATGGGAGTTATGTGGTAAAATATTAATTATTCGTATAGCTTTTTTCCTAATAACGGAGAGACGATACTTGATAGAAATGCTTTGTCCCCAAAATAAACAACCATAAGTAAAGTGTGAACTAAATAAGGCAAAATATGTAGATTTTAATGTTTTTTTGTCAACAAAATGTCTAAGTTTAGGCAGAATTGCATTGGATCTATTTAATTTTATTGTTAAATGATTAACACCATCCTTCCATCCTTCCAAGTTTAAATTTCATCAATCTTTATTCCAAGATAGTTATCACATTTTGTAGGGGTAAGTTTTTTACCGTTTAATTTGATTTTAAATTGATGACAAGGATTTTTTAACCTTGGTTTAAAGATAACCAACTCAGTTTTACTTGTATTTAAAGAAGTTTTGTTTAGCCTTTAACCAGTCGCAGAGCTTTTTTAGATCATAGTTGGCATATTTAGTAATTTTATTGATTGACTTATTAAAATACAGCAGATTTATGGCATCAGCGAAGTGTTGGACTCTACAAAATTTTATGGCTTTGGATAAATGATTTATATTGATTAAAAACAATAATGGACCCAGCACAGACCTTGAGGCACACCAACATTGACATCACAAATATTAGGTTTTGATCCATTAATAGACACAAACTGTTTTCTATTTGTAATGAAAGATTCAAACCAGGAATTTGAAACTCCTCTTATACCATAGTAAGCAAGTTTTTTTAATAATATTTTAATATCAACAATATCAAAGGCTTTTTGAAGGTCTATAAAAATCTCACAACCAAACAATCCTTTATCTAGAGCACTTCTAATATGTTTAGTCATACTTAATAGGGCAAACGATGTATAAAAATTAGTTCTGAAACTAAATTGTAAATCACATAGAATATTAGAGTTTTTAAGGAAATTGTAGACTCGATTAAACATAAGCCTTTCTAAAATTTTATCAATATTTAGGTGCAGGGATATTGGTCTATAGTTAGATACTAATAACTTTGAGTTTTTTTAAAAAATTGGAACAATTTTAGCAATTTTTCAAAATATTGGGAAAGACTTCATCAGAAAATGAAGAATTGAAAATATTTGACAAAATAATTGAAGTTTCATTTCTGAGTAGTTTTTAGATATTTATTGGGACACTATTAGGACCAGATGATTCATGGGCATCTAGAGGTTCTATAATCTTTATTATTTCACTACTGTCCGTAGGCTTAGTAACAAAGGAATTTGGTGAAGGGTTTAATAGGTAATCAGTAAAGTGATTCTTAGACAAAGGAATGTTTGATTGGATGTCTGAGCCAACATTGGAAAAATAGTTGTTAAAAGCATTACAAATATCAATGAGATTAGTTAGAGTATTGTTGTTTTGGAGAATTATAGTTGGTGAAACTTGTACATTTGACTTAAGGTTGAAAATATTATCAATACCTTTCCATGTTGCTTTTATATTAAGACTACTTTTTTTAAAGTAGTTGTTATAGTAATTTTTTTTTTTACTGACTTTAATTATTAATTGAAGTGTATTGCGGTACTTTTTGTAGTTATTATAACATACAGTTTTATTATCAGAATCCTTTGATTGCATATATTTTTTAAAAACTTTATTTTTGTATTTAATAGAGAGTTTTAAATCATTAAAGATCGATGGATTTGTTCTGAATTTTATATCCATTCTAGTTAATTTTTTAAAAGGAGCATTAATATCGAGCAATTTATTTATAGTGTTAATAGTTATGAGAAGCAAGTTGCTACAGTCATTATCACAAGACTCATTGGCTACCTTATCATTAAAATCTTTTTTAAAATCGAATAGAAATGATACCTCAATAAATACTTCCCAGTTTTTTTCATAAACAGCTGGTTTTTTGTTAGATGATAATTTTAAGATGTCATGAGCTATAAGAAATTGAGGGAGGTGATCAGATATTGTGAAATTACCTGCAATAAGGTTATTTGATTTAATATTTTAAAATATGTTGTCAATTAATGTTTAGATTTATTAACTATACAAGTAGGATGGACAATATGAGGCAAAAGGTAGTTAGAGGATAGTAAATTTAAGAACTCTTGAGTCGAATGCAAGTCACTTTTAATTAAATCTATATTAAAATCGCCTAATAGAAATACAGTTTTATTTTCTTTAAAAAGTTTTTCAAGTAATGGAGGGATATAGAATGCATCTATTGTCATTAATGGGAGTTTATATATACAACCAATAATAACATTAGATTTTTTAGGGTTTATTAATTCAACAAAAACAGATTCTAATTCCTTTGGTTTGTAAATAAGAAGATCTTTTTGAGGTTTATATGCAAACTTATTATTAATGTATAAAAGAGCACCTCCAGCTTGTGACGTTGTAGGTGTATGTTCATAACAGTAACCATTAGGCAAGATATTTGTAAATGGAACTTTATTACTAATTAATCTAGTTTCTGTTATTCCAATAATATAAAATTCCAGTTGAGTCGATTTTAATAGTTGTTCCAAATCATCAATGTGCTTTGAGAGGAAAGCAATGTATAGGTGAATAAGTTTAAAATAATTTTTATCATTAGAAAGATGACTTAAACCACTGATATCAGTGTAGAAGCTATTAAATACTGAATTTATTTTATGATCAGTTTTACATGAGAGAATAATAAAGGTATCAGTAATAGATTTGAGATTATTTAAAGGGTAACGAACAATTTTTTTCTCATTGGTATTAGAGCCACTATTAACAGAATATTTATTGTTGAATGAAAAAACAACTCAGACAATTCCTATACGATGATAAATCTGGCCACATATTTTAAAACATGGAGGCCCATGATTTATTGGTTAAACTACATCTGCTTTAAAAGAAACGAAAGAAAGACATTATAAAGGCATTTTAGTTTAGAATATGTTTTAAAAAATTGACATTAGCATTACGATCTACATAACTACATCTAGATAAATCCTGTAAAGTTTGTGTAAATGTTGAAAGTGAAGACAAAGCTACCTTACCATTATTGCAACCTAGAAAACGTGTTTCAACTGGATATTTTTTAGCACCTCAGTGCTGACAAATTTGATTCATTTCTCCTAAATAATTACAAACTGGAAAAGCATTACTTCTTGCTATAGAATACATTCGTGCTTGTTCAACAGGTCTATTTACAATTTGGCGACAATTAATTTCGCCTCAATTAAGCCTATTTCGTTCATTTATGGCGACGATTAACATTATCTTAATCAAGCTTATTTCTTTCATTTTGGCGATGTATACCTTTATCTTGAATAAGCCTATTTCTTTCATTTTTTAAATGATTATTTCATCTCGCCTTAATCTAATTCTTTAATTTTGTCTACGATTGTATTTAACAGGCCTTATAGCACTTGCATCATCTTGCAAATACTTAACTTCATCTAGCCTATCATTTATTTCAATGTCATCATTTTTATTAAACATATTTATCAAAGCAACACTAATTATTTCCTTTTTTCACAACTCTAAAGTTAGCTATAACATAAAAAAATGTTTATCCTTGGAGTCGCGGATAGCGTCTTAGTTCATGTGTTGGGAGAAAACATTGAACAAAACGCGTAATAAAACTTACTAACGCGTTGTGTCCAATACAAAACGGGCTATTAACGCGTGTTTGTAAATTTTCCCCTAACACACAAACTATGACGTTACCACGACTCCAAGGAAATATACATACATACAAATATATATATATATATATATATATATATATATATATATATATATATATATATATATATATATATATATATATATATATATATTAGGAAAATAATTTTTTTTAAAAAAAATTTCCCTGGCCCAAAAATGGATGAGTTTTTACGCATAAAATGCGAAAATATTAGTACTTTCACGATGTTCAAAAAAAATGTCACACCCCAAAGCACATTAAGATTTAAAAAGGTTTTAAAAAAATCAATGACCAAAATCATTTCTATTTGCAAACTGTTCATTAATATGACTCTATAAAAAAACATAATTTATTCTAACAATTAATACATGGCATAGTGTTATATTCAATGCAGAAAAAAACATTTTATACAATTTAAATACATACAGTTATTGTTTATTAGACAAAATGAAACGAAGTGGAAGATTGTCTTTATTTCTGCACAATCTATAAAGCTCCTCCATTACTTTAATTGCTCTTTCAGCACATTGATTACTTCTGGGAATGTTGATTGCTGATGGTTCTGGATTCCAATGACTTGTAAATGTAGCAAAAGGTTTTTTTTTGTTTAATAAGACTTCATGAAGGTCTGAATAAGTGTTTTCTTTATAGGTTTGGTCGTCAAACCAAAAGTCTGCCCACTTGTAAGAAATAAAGGTACATACAGATTCAAGTTTGTTTCTTGTTTTTGGCATAAGAATGTAGGCTAACAACGCTAAAATAGCTCTTGAACTCCACCGAGCATTACTGATATTAGGGATTTTTTGAAATCTTACATTAGGAAATATTTTATTTTGGTCATAGTATCGGTAGGTTCTCGTCAGATGAAACAGAAACTTCGTGTCATCTCGCCATCCTCCTGTGTCTTTTATTTTATCTGTACCATTATAAAAATTTGTCTTCAGTGTTTCATAATGTTCTTACAACTCGTTAGTAAAAAAGTATTTGTTTTGCTTCATTAAAAAGAGCCTTGTATATTCCAGACTGTGATGGCGCTGGAACATATATGCCTTCTGAGGACAGTATTTTACCTATTTTAGAAGCTTTCTTAGTTGATACCTTAGCACAAACCACTAACGTTGTTGCTATTTTACAACTACTATATTTTTTACGTCTTTTCTTCAAATTATTATATTCTTCATCTGTAATTTCATTATCTATCTCAAATTGTTCATCAGTTTCTTTAAATTCGGAACTAGAGTTGTCTCTTTCTATTTTACTACTTTCAGTAAATGAAGAAAAACTTTTAGATGCTGAAGGTTGGCTGGAAAGTTTTTGCACAATTGATGGATGAATAGTCTTCTTTGCTGCCAGCTTTGAAGTAGCATATCCAATTTCTCCTTTGCTTTGTAACTAAATTTCTTAAAATCTTTTATCTTCAGATGATAACCAAATGCCATTTTGATTTGTTATATCAAAAATCTCTTTTTGCAGAAGGTCGGCATTCCCTTTTTTTCTGAGACTTTCATATTTTTCTATAACATCATTAATCTTTCGCTTCACTGACTGCTCTGTCAGACATGGGAAATTTAATTGTTCTTTCCACAAACTTATAAATTCTTCTGAAATAAGATCTATCCTTTGCTTTTTGGCTTTCACATTAGTACTAGACAAATACTTAAACCTGCTAACAATATCACTTTTTAAAGGCATTTTGGAATATTCTTGAAAAGATGTTTCTAGCATTGGAAACTGTCTACTTTTATGCGAATCTTGAAATTTCACAAGATTTTTTTTATAAGTCTCTTTATTTTTTTCAACACTTGAATGGCAGTATTTGTATGCCATTTTAATTAAAAGCAGCACAAAAAAATCTGAAACTAATTAATAAACAATTAGGCACGGCAGTGAAAAACTAGAAATTATAAAGTGGTAATGCATACGTCTGGTATGTATTTAAAATTATATATATAATATATATTAACCGTCTATATATATTTTATTATATATAATATAATAATATAATATAATAAAATATATATAGAGGGTTATATATATATATATATATATATATATATATATATATATATATATATATATATATATATATATATATATATATATATATATATATATATATATATATATATATATATATATATATATATATATAATTATATTTAGATGAATAAAAACAACTGA